TTTTCTCCGGTTCATCATGTGCTCAAGGCCCCCGCCCGCCCCGCCCCTCCCCCGCAGCCCCCTGGACTGTCACAGAGGGCTGGTCAGAGGTTGCCTAGGCAGCGTCGACAAAGGGATCAGAGGAGCTGGGTTGGCCATCCCAGTTCACCACTTTGTGGCCATGTGATCTGGGACACTCCTCTGTTGCCTCTGAAAAGCACTTTCCCGTGTGAAATGGGGATAATAAGGGTTCCCCCATCTTTGGATTTTTGCAAAGATTAAGTCATTGTGTGCCTGTCAACTGGCGCGTAGCACAGCGCCCGGCACAGGGTGCGCCCTGAGTGCGTAGCTGCACGTGTCTCCCTTTCTGTAGACCACATGCTTAGGCGTGCTTCCCCAGGTGCCCCTGGCCTGGATCTCACGCGATGGCCGGGGGCCTGGGCCACTGGCTGTGAGACCGCAGCCTGCTGAACCTTGGGGAGAGACAGAGTGCCACGCAGAGGAAGCAGCCAGAGGTACACCCAGGAACCAGACAGGCCTCAGCCTGGTTTCCTCTCTGCTCCCCTCTGCCTGGGGACTCACCCTCTCTCTGCTTCCTGCCACCATCTTTTAAAGTGTGGAGTTGGCTTAGGCTTTACCTACTTCATAGGAGTGTCCTGACAATAATAGTGTCAGGGTTGTGTTTAGAGCTGATTTGAATATGTGCTCGTACAAATCCAAGAAACTTTTCTTGCTCCACAGTGCCATTCAACCAAACAGTTACAGAAACCTCACTGTCAAGATGTCTGCCTTTCCCAGTTGTGATTTATTGTAGAGAGCCAGGAAGCCCTCTTTGCCTTAGCCAAGCTCAACTGTTACTCCTGTGTTCATTTGAGTAGCAAGCAGGTATCTCTCTCTCTCTCTCTCTCTGTCTGTCTGTCTGTCTGTCTCGCAGTTGCAGGTGGAGATTCGCCTTCACCTGGTTACAGGATAGCACCCACATTGCCACCTCATCCCTGAAGTTGAGTTTCTTTGTGACCAGGGCATGGTTTCTCATATTTCAGTGTCCTTCAGCCAACAGGGACTGCCTCCAGGGTGGATCATGCCAGGGAATCAGTCAGTGTGCTAAGATCTTGATATGTTGATTAAAAAGCTGTCTGATTTTTAGAAGCAGTTGATTTGGCTCATGGCTTTGGCTTGTTTTAGCACAAAATAGTCCCCTGGGTACTTCACCAGAAGGCCCAGCAAAGGAATTTATAAAGGCCAGAAAGGAGCACCTCAGGGGCTCAGTCTGTTAAGCATCCAACTTTGGCTCAGGTCATGGTCTCATGGTTCGTGGTTTTGAGCCACACATCCAGCTCTGTGCCCACAGCTGAGAACCTGGACCCTGCTTCGGATTCTGTGTCTCCCTCTCTCTCTGCCCCTCCCTTGCTCTCTCTCTCTCTCTCTCTCTCAAATAAACAAACATTAAGGCCAGAGAGGTGAGAGTAGGTGGATAAACCATGTTGGGTTAGCAGACCTGTGTGGTCAGGTGGTCACTTTACAGTCCATGCAGTAATCCACACTAATGGTCTCTGTGACACCTGTAGGGAGCCAGACTTCCTGGGCTCCTTCACACTATCTGGTGTCCAAAGTGGAATTTGAAGGTTTAATGACCCTGTGTTGGCAAGCCCTCTGTGGTCACAGGGGCATGGGACAATCAGGCAGAGCAATACTGCCATCCCTTTAAGAATTGTACTTCAGGGGAGCCTGGGTGACTGAACCAGTTAAGCGGCTGACTCTTGGTTTTAGCTCAGGTCATAATCTCATGGTTCTTGGGACGGAGCCCCATGTTGGGCTTTGTGCTAACAGCATGGAGCCTGCTTGGGATTCATTCATATATTCATTCATTCATTCATTCATTCATTCTCTCTCTCTCGATAAATAATAAATTTAAAAAAAAGAACTGTGCTTCAGCTATGCTTGTGGATTTCACAGGAAACATGGGGGCCAGGGCCAGTACAGGATGGGTGTAAATGCAGCCCTTGCCAAATCCCCCTCCTACACGTGCACAGGAATCCTCCACTCAGGGGAGGCAGGTGGAGAGGGGGAATCACTGCTCCTGGGAAAGAATGAGCCACCAAGTTTAGGCCCTCTGTGCATTTCAAAAAAGTAGGAGGTGGAGGATGGTGAGGAAGGATCAGCTCTAGCTTGGGCCCTGGAGGGAGGACACCGTTGATGACCAGTGCCCTGTTGGGAATGGGAAACTAAGACCAGAGTGAGTGGGGTCCGGGGCTGGAGGGTGTGTAGCTGCCAAACTAGGTCTGGGATCCAAAGGTGCATGAGGATAGGCTGAGGTCAGACACGGGTCAGCACAGCAGAAAACATAATGTGTGAGAAGAGATGAGCCCAAGAGTTGAGTCTGGGGGAATCTGGAAGGTTGTGTGGGCTCGGGGTTGGCATGAGCACAAGGCATGGGGATTAGGCTGGGCTCCCACTGAGAACAGCCTTTGGGAACAGAGACGTTTGAAGGCCCAGGCTCCCTTAGTTCCTCAATCTGACATCCTACAGGATGTGGCCAGACATCCTACAGGATGTGGCCAGAATGCAGGTAGCAGATGGGATCATTAGGCCTACAGTGATGTATTTACAGGAAAATTAATCAGCTGCCAGCATTTAAAATAAAGAATTTTTAACATAAAAACCTCAGTCACTGGCTTCTCGGGTGAAGCCAACATGTCTGCACACACGTGTTTATTGTCACATGAAGATGTCTGGCTGCTGTCCCGTGACTACTGGGCCTCTCTGGTTTGCCACAGTGCTCACCCTTCACCGTTGTATCTCATGTATGACCCACGTCACTCCTTTACAGTACCGTCCCGTCTCTTAAAGTTGCTTGAGTTCGTTATCCTCACCATCCTAACACCAGTTTTCTGAAGGGTAAAGTTCTCTCCTTCAATAGATTAGAACAGCACAGTGCTCCTCACAGTTGTCTTTGGTATGGGGCCAGTATTTTCTGTTGTTCCGATATAGATTGTGAACTGATATGTGGTCCTGTTTTCCTAGGACTAGAATGGAGTTTACATTTGACTCTTCACTCGAATTCAGCAACATCTGAGCTAGTATATACTCTGTTCAACAAGAAGACTCCACTCACTTAAATGTTGTGGCAAAACCCACGATTGCTGTAAAGGTCGCTAAAGGCCGACCATTTCCGAAGCGGTCGTAGCTGATCAGTAACATAATTTAATGATCTACATCAGTCCCTAAATCACATTTGGATAGCACTGTAAGAGTGAATTTATTTTATCTTATTCTTTAAGGAGTATGGTTTCAAATCTAGGAAAGGCCTCGAATAGGACCTGTATTTGATGTTTCATTTAGTGTTTCTGCTTCAGAGCCCTTCGTGAAAACAGAAGACTGGTACGTCATGTATTTAGGGTTTTGAAATCGCTGCGGGGAAAATCTCTCTCCACTGCATCTTTTTAAACAAAATCGAAAGGAAACCGGCTTGCGGCAAGGAGGCAGTTCAGGTAGTGTCGTTGTGGGACGCTTGGGTTCTGCCACATAG